CTAATAACGGGCTGATGATTTAGCTGATTTTTCTTGCCATGTTGTATGTTGGTGTACCTATGCTGTCTACTATTGGTCTAAGTGGGGTCTTTTGTTTGTGTATTTTTGGTGTTCCATAGATTCTTGGTGTTATGTTTGCTGTAGGAATCCAGTGTTTGTACATTTTTTCTGTTATTTTGCCTTTTTCTTGTAGTGGTTTCAGTAATTTTTTCCTATTTTTCTTAATGCTTTCTTTTTTAAGTATTTTGTATGTAATTTTGTCCTCTAACATCTGTTTCATCTGTTGCTTATATTTTTCTTTGTCCATAACTACTGTGGTTTTTCCTTTGTCTGCTGGTAGAATAATTATCTGTTCATTTTTGCATAAAGCTGTCATGGCTGATATTTCTTCTTTTGTAATATTGCTATGTTGAATTTGGCAGTTTTTTAATATCCCAACAGCGTTATTTTTAAGTTCTGCGTTCTTTCCGTCATCTGTGATCTGTTGGCATGCTAGTTCTGTTGCTACGATAAATTCATCATATGGTATTTTCTTTGGTGTTACTGCAAATTTTAAACCTTTTTAATATGCTTTCTTCTGCTTCTGTTAGTTCGTATTGTGAAATGTTACATACCCATGAGCTTTGTGTGGCGTTATCTTGTATTTCTTCCCTCCTTTTCTTGTTGATGAGTTTGTTTAACTTCTTTATGTGTCTTTCTTTTACTTTTATGAACTCTTTTCCCTCTTTTTCCATCATGTGTCCTTTAATTAGTTCCTCCGTTTGTCATGTGCTGGGGTGCGTACTCCTCTGATTGTTTTCTTTGAGCTGCTGTGTTTCAGGAGAGGGAGGCTCCAGCTGCAGCTCATTGACAATCAGCGGGTCCAGCTATAAGAGGAGGAGGAGAACACAACTCGACGCTGGATGATTAACTACAACTTGGTAGTTCCTGCCCTTTGTGACTCCTGGTTAAACTTGTTGGCGCCAAAAAGGTCAAGAGGTCATCTACAAAATGTATTGAGTTAAAGCTGAGTTCTTAGGTTGAAAGTGTTTTCTGGCTTGAGTTCGTGTGTTGTTCCAACATCAGCTCCGAAGGAATTTCCTGTTTTGGTCTCTGCCTGCTTCCAGTAAAAGCTGGACCTTATCTGATGTGCTAAGTACTTGAGGTGATTCCAAAATGTTGCTGTGTCCCAGCCAGAAGTCTCCACTCACAGTTTCCACAGAGAGATGTGCTACCAAATATGGTCTGGGTCTCGCCTGTTGACTATCGAATGTTCAAAGGTTGTGAGCTATAAAAAAGGGAACCACTCTTTTGTCTGTTGTCTTTTCGGCTGTCCTGAGATGTGAGAAGACAAATAAAAGACCACGCTGTTCTCGGCTGAAAACTCTCTCCGACTCTTTTCTTTAAGAATAACAGAAAAAGCCCACACATTGGCACCCCAGATGGGTGAACAGCGAGGACTTTCCGTGGCGTCCCTTGGCTCCTGTCCAGTGGCTGAGGTCCGAACTAAGGGCCCAGGTGAGCATGTTTTTGTTCATTTTTGTGGCCTCTGTCACTGGGCAGGGGTGTTCTCCTGTTCTGATAATACTATAAATATCAGTTGGAGAGAGGATTCATGTCTGACAGTGGTAAAATATTCACACCGTGTGAAGTCAGCTGTGTCATTTTGATGACGGACAAATTTTAAGTGTCAAATTGAAAAGTGGGACAGCAGATTGGAATAGAATCTGAACAGCTGACAAGGTTTTGAGAAATCCAGTCTCCTGACTCGGTAAGAGCAGAGACGGGGATCCTGAAGAAAAAGCGCTGAAGTTGTGAGAGATGAGCTTTGCCTGTATTTCGGTCTTTCCCCTGGGGATTGGTAAATTTAATAAGAGTTTGTGGCAAAGTAAAAAGAGAAAAAGAGGCCTGTATAAGAAGTTGAAGTCTTTGCTGAGTTCGGTTCGTCCTCGAGGAGTAACAAATTTAAGAGTGTTTGCAAAGCAGTAGTGAGGCCTGTGAGAAGACGTCTTGAGTTTGCAGCGAGAGGCTGCGTATGGCTCTCAGTGTGAGCACTAGGAGAGTGCAGAATGCAGAGCCGAGGTTTGGGAGCTCCGTGTGTGGGTGGTCAGCGCTGGATGATGTGTGAGGGCCTGATGCAGTACCAGGAAAATAAATAAATAAGATAAATAAGAGCTCTAAAAGTTGCAACTCGAATATGTAAAGTTCACTGCAGTGCTAAATTTAATGTTAGAAGTTATGCAAAATTCAAATTCTGCAATCCTGTTCTGATCAGTCTGAACAGAGTACCATAAGTTAATAAATAAAAGGTTTTAAAGTAACATATATATATATGTAGTGGCCTGGAGATTAAAAGGGAGAAAACAAGGAACACAAGGAAAGGTGTAAATGACAGCTTTATTTTAGAATATTTAGATATACATTTATTGAAAGTCAGACAGCTGCTAAACAGTAAGATCGAAACAGATCTGTAGAAAATAAATATATAAACTGTTTCTCAGAGCGCTCTCAAAAATTGCAATTTGACTTGCTCTAATGGTTGAATAAGACCTGCTTAAAAGCAGGCATTAAGTTCTGAAAATTACCAGCCGTTAAAGGAAGTCCTGTCAATTTGGTGTAAAGTAGGAAAAGTAAGTGCCAATTTGGGTCAGTTAAATTTAAATTAGGAGAAACATAACAATAATAGTCCAACTGGAACAAAGAGATTAAGAAAAGATAAGGTAAAACAGACATTGATGTATATAAAGAGAATAAATAAGTGACAGACTGACTTACTTTTGTTTAAAAGACTGTGACAAACAGAAAAAAAATGTTCTCTGTGCCTCTGTGAGTGAGTGTCTCTTGCATGAGAAGTAAATGCTGCTTCTGGCTGGATACTCTGTTGAATGACGCTGTTTTTAATAGAGGGAGCTGCTGGAAAAAACAGGGCGTAGTCCAGCTTTGCCTGACTGAAAAACAAAAGAAAAAGAACTTATAGTTAGTGTGATGACAAGGAAATCATTTAAAATATAAAAGTTGCATGGTTGTGGTTATAAAAGGAAGTATTTTACCTGCTTATGAGCCGTGAAACTGGACTCTCTCTCTCTCTCTCTCTCTCTCTCTCTCTCTCTCTCTCTCTCTCTCTCTCTCTCTCTCTCTCTTTCTCTTTTTCTCCTGCCGACACACACACACACATGGTGGAAACAAGGCTTGCTCGCTTTCTGTAACTTGCAGTTTTAAGCAATTTGTGACTTTAGAAAAGATATTTTCTGGTGTTTTGGGCGTACCGTAGGTTCGTGGTTCGTCTCCATGAGATCCTTTCTCCTGAACGGTCGAGGCAGGAATGAGACTGAAAGTTCGGCCTGAGGGCCTGACACCACCCACATTTACACACAAGACCTCTGCAGTCTAAAAATAGCACAGGGAGCTGAAGCTCTGGACTGCTCAGGATCGTCTTTATGAAAACCATAAAATTAACAAATAATCAGTCAGGAAATAAAAATATTTGTTAAATCTTGCTATAAAATAAAAATCCAATAATTGCCTTGCCTCAGCTTTAAGAACCATTAACATTAGTGGCTGGATTTTGAGACGCTGAATGATGAAAAACAGATAAACTAATTGTATTATTTCTACCTGGCTACAACTTGTGCCAGGCTGTTTTGAATTAAAAACTGGTAGTTATTCTCCCAAAATAAGATGGATAAAAATAAAAATGAAAAGAGGTATCTTGCATTTGGGGTTAGATTGTACCTAATGATTAAAACCTGTGTAGAACTGATTTGATGATTAAGGAGCAATTGTGCCCAGGAAGTAGGGCTGGGCGATATGGCCAAAAAATAAAATCTCCGATTTTATTTGCTTTAATTCGATTTCCGATTTTTTCCGATTAACCCCCCCCCCCCAGAAAAGGACACCAAGAAGTACAAACAGCAGACCACTTGAAGCTACTTTTGCTTTTATTTAATAAAAGCAAAATGTGTAATGCTCTTCAGGGATGAATAGTGAATAACTGAAAACCCTCTTGGAATCAAAGTGCCAGGTGTATTTTGACATACTCTGTTGTCTAGACTGAAATGAGACAAAAATTCCCATTAGAGTAACACCATTTACTCAAACATTAACAATACATTCAAATACAGGTAAAACTAAACCAACCCAAACAGTGCGACAACTAACAGGGATAAATGTATCTTACTTTTCAATCCAAAAACAGAAAAAAAATTATCTGTCTTTAACTTGCATTTACGGTAAATGATTTACTTTGCATATAATTTTAAATAAAAACTTAAGTGCAAAACTTCTTTCTTGGGTAAAATACTAATGTAAACAAAAATTTAGAGTACAAAAATTGCAAAATAAATAATAGTCAACTCCAACTGAAACTGATAAAGTGCCAACTTTGGTTAAAAAAATAACTTTAACAAACGATTTGTGTCCCTGAATGTAGAAACCGGAGAGAAAAATCACATTTTGGTTGAGCTGCTGAACATGAGATCTGTGCTTAAGTTTTCGGTCAATAACATTTACACATTTTTGGCAAGGAAAATCAGCCTGTCCACTGCCTCTGGCTTGAGGCAAGCTCGGCTGCATGTGACAACTCCCCCTGCCACACTGAATAGCCTCTCAGATGGGGCACTTGTTGCAGGGATGCTGAGGTATTTCTTGGCCAGGTGACTGAGCCTTGAGAAGTTTGATTTGTTGCTCTTCCACCATTGCAGTGGATCAGTGTCAGGATCTACCTCTGGCATGAGCAGATAAGTTGCAATTTCAGTCTCTATTTTAGCCTCTTCCGACTGGTCAGGGCCAGGGGTTGGCACACTCTTCTTGAAGAAAGTTGCTAAGGTCTTTTTCCTCTTGGGATTTGGCTGAGGCCTTGCCTCTTGGTCCACCTGCACAACTGGACCAGGCTGTGGTGTGCTTTTGTCAGTGGGGAAAGACAGAAGTTCACTGACAGCTCTTCTTTTGATTTGCTCCACCTTGTCTGGGTCAATGTAGGATGTCCGGAATCTTGGATCCATCAGAGAGGCCATGTCCAGGAGTTAATCTTTGACAGGATCGCTGTATTTGTTAACAAGGTATCCCAGTATGTTGCTTTTGATTGTTTTGGTGAGCTCTGTGTCATTGTCCTCAGGCTGCAAAATACTTGTTTTGAACAGATGGATAACAGGCTTGATGTATGAGACACTAACATACATTTCCCCTGATAAAGCATCTGTAAAATCTTGGAGTGCTTTAACCGCCTTGTTTACTGACTCCAAAACCTCGATGTCTTGCCAAGAGGGCACGAGATGGCGGCTTTTAACTTCAGACCCCAGGACACGGGCAATAGCCTTCTCCTGTTCCAGGAATCGTTCGATCATCTTTTGGCGTGAGCCCCACCTGGTTGGAGATTCTACTATAAGCTGATGAGGGGGAAGGCCCAGCTCTGACTGAGCTAAACCCAGCTCTCTTCTTTTCTTCCAACTGTAGGAAAAAGCAGCAACTATCTTCTTGCAAACTCCAATGGCTCGGTCTATGCGGGGATCCTTAACACCATTCTCTGTATGATAAAGAATAAAACACAAAGACATACATCACTATTGGGGACTTGAATAAACAACTACATCCACCTAAAAATGATTTCTTCTGTATGTCTTCTTATGTATGAACACAGTAACTCCTGCAGTTGTTACACTGAATATTTGTTTGGTGTATATTATTTTTATGTTTTAATCCATGGGCAGAACTTTGCAGCAGCACAGTGATAAATAAGCACAAATAATATTAACATATTTAGAAGAAAGAGTATTCAAAAGGACACATGATTAATATGAGCAGAATTCTGTGCCATTAGTAACTGAATTTGAATTACTCCAGGTTGAAATACAATTTTCAGCTTCAGAAGCAAATTTAAATAAGCTAAACTGAACCTGAGGGGAGGAGGGTGAAAGTGAGCGTTTGGAGGCTCAATTTGCAGTAGAATAAAATACATTTTTAAACCTAATTCATCCATTTTCAAAATACAAAACTCAATTTCAATTTAATGACAATCATTTCCAAACTGAACTTTGAACTTTACCCTCTAAACAGGAAATCTTTATTCAACTTTCCAGTGTCAAACTGGTAGCATTTATGTTTACCTGCCGCTCCTGCAGTGTCACACTCTAAAACCTCCGGGCGGAACACAAACAATATTGCAAGTTCCATTGCTACAGTAGTGAAAGACGAGCGTCATCCAGCTTGGCTGTGGTTTGATGTGCTCTGTCAAAATGTAATATTTAATTTTACTTATTGTCAGACTTACCGATAGCGTTGTGTAGTTTGTGTCCAAAGCACTGGAGGTTTGGCCATCCGTTCACTTTCAGGGCTTTAATCACGTTGGTCCCGCTGTCAGTCGTCATGCAGGATAGACAATTCTCAGACAGGTTCCAGCAGTCAAGAGCGTCTCTCAGTCCTTTGGCGATAAGTTCACCGGTGTGGTCCTCGGGAAAGTATGACGTTTGGAGGGAAATACTACGTAAATCCCACGCGTTGTTAATGAAATGCACCGTTAAACTCATATAAGGCTGCATTGTTCGACTGCTCCACATGTCGGTTGTTGCCGAAAAAAAGGACAGCTCCTCCAGTTCTCTGCCAACCTTTTTGCGTGTGTTTCTGTACAGCTGCGGCAAGACTACTTCACTGAAATACTTTCGGCTGGGTAGCTCATACCTGGGATCCAATGTTTTCATCAAATTTATAAACCCCGTCTTCTCCACGGTATATATTGGTACCATGTCTTTTGCTATGTACAAAGCGACCGCGTCGGTGATTGTAGTCCACCGGGCCCCTTTCTTGTCATATGTGGTCCCCTGTGCGAACGATTCGGCTACAGTTAGCTGTTTTTTAGCCACTGGTTCTTGGTCACTGTGGCTCTGTTCGTCTCGGAGAGACTGGCATTTTTCGTGTTCGGCTTGATGCCTCTGTTTAAGATGTTGAAACAAGTTAGTGGTGCTGCTGCCTTTGACTGCGACGGGTTTTAGACAAAGGTTGCAGCGTGGGCTCTCTTGTTTTATGTCTGTTGCAGCAAACCCATACCAGTTCCAAACAACAGATGATTTTATCCCTTTCTTCGGAACAAACTTCCCACTCTCACCGCCTTCACCGGTCGCCATGTGGTCGCTTGCTGTCTGTTGTTTTGTGTGTTATCGCTCGCTCGTGGGTGAGGAACCTGATGCTATCATGCTACGGGACCTCCGGAGGGCCAAAAAGCGCCATTACAAAAAACTCGATTTACTTACTTTATGAATCGCCTGCAAAAAATAATTCGAATTAATTCATTTGATCGATTTTTCGCCCAGCCCTACCAGGAAGTAGTCTAGATTTACCTTTGAGTCAGTAAAGTCGACTAATTAGAAGCCATCGTTGATTTGTAAAAGAGACAGTTCTGTCATTTCAACCCAATCAACATATTTAAGGAAGACTTTTGCTGATAACTGTGGTGGCATGAGATTTACTGGGTCAGCCCGTCACAGAGGCGGACGAAAATTAAGGTTTTCTGGATCTGGCTCTACACAAACGGAGCAGGAAGTCCCCACCACAAGCTGTAAATTATAACATCTAGATGGGGCAGCACTACAAGATGGACAATGAGGCAGATGCTTATTTGCCCTGCTGCAGATGAAACAAAGGACAAAGGGGAGGAGCATGTGTGCTAACATGTGAACTTTAATCAATGACGGTGGTCATCCTGGACTCAAAAGAGAGGCTCAAAAGAGACTGTCTCCTATGGTTACACCCAGTGAAGGAGTGCTTGCTGCAGTTAGGTAATGGAAAAAGCTTTTTGGCAACAATCAGTTGACTTGGTGAAATGTCAGAATTGGGAAAAATTTACTAAACTACTGCAGAACATAGTTAACTGAGGAAGTTATCCTTAAAAAATAGGATTAGTAACCTGGTCCAACTTACCATTGGATGTCAATATAATCTTTATTGTAAGTATGATTTGAGATTTGGAAAACCGCAAGTGTCAAGTTTTTTTATGTTTGCTCTATAGCCTTTTTATCATAGCTTATACGATCAACAAAATTTAAATGAAATAGTGGTAAAGTAGATAACTCAGTGCACAACAACTTCTCGGTATTCATCAGGTTTCTTAGTTGACCTAATTACTTTTCTTATTTCTGCAAATCGTAGGATACTCAGCTACAGCGGACATGCAGTAAAGCCTCATTTTCTTTGTTTAAAAAAAAGCGATTCATCAGCATCATCGCTTATTTTCAATGGTTAAGGAAACAGTGTTTATTTATAAGTCTAGGAGAACGCTTTAGGCTTCAATAGTTTTTTCTCCTTAACCACCAGTTTTGAAGTACGTTTGAGAGTACATCATCAGTAAATTGAATAAAAACAACAATTAAATTAATATTTAGGCATTTAGCTGACTAAATGATTTATGGTACATCTCATACTAGACAACAGTGTTGTTTTAGCTCCTTTGAGTTTTCCAACAGATCTAGCCAAACCTGGTCCTATATTTTTCTATCAGCTGTAAGTTCTAACGTAGAAAATAATGTTACAAAATATTGAATAATTGTACCTCTCATTCGATAATAATTATGTTCACATTTTCTCATCTTGTGAAATCTTTAACATAATATTTTTAATTGGCCTTTTGCAGGAATGGCGTTGCGAGAACATTTGGATTTGGCTACAGCCGAAATTGGCTAAACTGAAATTTTGGTTTGACTTAAATTAGGTGTCACTGAAGGTAAACGAAGCTATGTTCATGCTGCATGGGAATTGGAGTGTAGGAGCTGAAAGCAGTGTTCTGTGTACGTGCGAACTGACATTCTGCTTATCAGCCCAGCTGCTGCGTTCGTGCAGCCTGACAGCGCCAGCAGCAGAGTTTAACTGCTGTAGGAGGGATGAGAATGGGACGACAATTGGCTAAAGGAAAAAGTCTTTAAGTTTATCATCACAGGATGGCATGATAAATAAATAAATAAAATGAATAAATAAAAGAAAAGAGAAAAAGGAAAATTAATTAAGTGAAACGTAATAGCAATAAAACGTTAAATTGATCTAAATCTGTCATGAAATCACTGCCACTGGAAAAAGGAGTAGGTAAAAAGAGGATAGGGGAGTATTTCTTAGCACAAATCACGTTATTGATTTAGCAATGCAGCTTAATTCCAGATGCTTTAAGGATGATACTAACTTGTGTTATAGATGGAGAAGTAGCACAGAAATACACTTCTAAGTGAGGAAATAAGGAAACCTGCTGATGACCAATGCCATATACAAACAAACCTGTAACTGCAGTTTCGTTATTTATGAATTAACCTTAAGTAGTGAATTAATTCTTAGGATTTCTTGTGCTAGTGAGGTTCTTAAAGGAAAAAGGAAAGAAAATAAGAAAGAAGGTTCATAATTGGGGTGAATAGTAAGGGACATTGGAAAACCTGAAACTATTTTGTTGAATTGATAGTAAAGTGGTTGTCCTAATTTTTAATTGGAGAGATCACACCGCAACATGAGTTCACAACAGTAGTTATGGGAAGTTTTGTTGGATTAATTTGATCACACGCTTCAGGTCTTATTCTTTTCTTTCCACTGATTTAGTGTTCAGTTCATTTAAACCAAGCGGAGCCACAGACTTGAGAGAATAAGTAGTTTAGTTGTGCGTGTCCCGCTCTTGCAGTTTGAGCATTTTTCCAGAAATAATCCAGATGTTTAAGAAGTGGAAGGAAGCTCTGGATGAAATTGCTAACATGCATGCCTACTTAACTGAGGAATTTCACACTTTCGCTTCAGTCTGACATTTGCTTGGTGTGTGAGGGCACAGAGACGTGTATGGACCGTGTGCTTGACTGTGTTTGTTTTGTTTGTTTGTTCCTTTATTTATATGGGCGTGGCCAAGCCTTGAGAAACATCAACAAAGCCATTGGACTATTCTGAGTAAATTAACCAATTCAAATTCAAATTCAGGATCCTGAAACAATTCGGTTATAATCTCTAATTGATGAAGACCTTCTTAAGAATCCATTGCACAAGGCATCGCCAGTGTTACTGGAACTGTTTAAAAAAAAACATGCATGGTTGTATATTTTAGTTGAATCATTTATACTCATTGAATTATTGTTGTTTGCTTTATGTTTTAATTTCTTTGCAATTTTTTCTCTGTGACACAGGTGGAGATGCTGGTGGCAAAGTGGATCCCACTCATTTTTTCTCCCACACACATTCTTGCTCTCTCTCTGTGTGTGTATGTGCATGTGTATGTGTTTGTGTGTCCGTGTGTGTCCATGTCATGATGTCACTGTACCTTTAATTGCGCTTGCTGTTTGTAGCTGTATGTGTCTGATGTTGAAGGTATCAGTGGCTAGGGTCAGTAAGAGATAGGACATTTTTGTGCATAACCATTAATCCCTAGGTGATCGGCTCGGGGGACGTCTGGTCCGTACGGAGTGCAAGGCTTCCTGGTGTTGCACGGTGACCAAGGGTGAGGATGGAAAAAGATGAAGATTGGACTCTCATGGACTCACGTCGATACCTGAGATGAAGGCTAAAGGATAGTGTTGCTTCTCACCTTACTGGGGCTAGATTAACTAACTTAAGAAGACGTTTGCTGAGTTTTATGACGGTTCTTGTCTTGAATGCTGCTAGGAACCATCCCTGCTTAATTACAATGGGGTTTCTGCTGGAGGAGGTGAAGAGGATAACCAATGGACAAGCATAACAAGAGGACAAAGACATCACCACAATGTATCATCGTTTTATAGGCCATCCGACGACCGCGACACCAATAGAGGAATTGTTCACAATGACAGATGAGTAAAATGCAACTACTCTACACCCTAGACTGGTTCCCATGCCTGCATTCACGTCATTATAATCACATCTGTAGATGCAAGGACTTGACTAGTCTCACTAACCATACAATGACGGCGTCACTTAGCTGATGTCTAATTACTTTAGTTCCAGTTTTACAACTTTGATTGTTTTATTTGTCCGAGGGGAGGTTGAGTTTAGGTCGAATTGGCTGGATGACTTTTAAATTTGGTTTTAAGGACTTATTTCTGGTCGTTTTACCGAGCGGCCATTTACATTGCTCCTAGTTATCAAGGCAGTCAGGTGAGTTTTGCTTTTACCATTAGCCCGTAGATGTTTGAGTGAATCATTGCATGCCGTGCTGGCAAACTAGCTCTTTAATTTAGGATAGTGAGTGGTATAGAAAGGGGGTGTGAATGTGGGGATGGATGCTTTGTCTTTGGGTCTAATATTTAGGAAGTTTTTGTGGTAATAGGTTTATAGGCAATTGGCGTGCTAATTCAAGTTTTTCTCGTTGACATGTTGCGTTTTACTCGCTGTGGGGAGGATGGAGTCGGCACCACCAAGCTGCACGAAGATGGACAAAGGGAGGACTGAGCCAAGGACTTATGCTTTTGCTTTCCTGACAAATAAAGGACACTTGTCCACATAAAGCCCTCCTGCAGCAGAAGGCCTCCAACGCCGACATGGATGCTGAACTTGTATTTTCCGTTTATTCTTTTGAATGAAGTTTTCAACCGGACTTATTACTGTTTCATTATGTGAAGCTAATTGTTCATTATTCATCATATTTGTCACCTGTTTATCTGCATGTGCTTTTGTTGTTTTGTGTGTTTTTTCTTTTGATCACTGACGAGGACATGTGTCACCAATGTCCTCGCATGCCCGCTCTGTGCCGTGGTGTTCGTCCCTGGGGTCGGGGAGGACATGGAGGAATTTTCCCTGTTAAAGTACAGCGGACAGGGTTTTTCGCCTCTATACGGAGTGCGCATGCAATACATTCGTGAAGTAATGGGTTCAGTTAATGCTAAAGTCATGTTTCATGTATTGTTTCATAGTTTTTCATTGTCTCAGCTGTGAACTCATCGGTTGTTTTTCAGTTTCTTAATTATTGTTCATTACATATACATGCTAACGTTGCTGTGTTAGTCTGGAACATCATCTCGTGTTTTGGCATGGGTTCTCCTTTATGCATTTATGATTCAAGGTCATTTATGCCCTTTTGTCTCTATCTTCGGTCATGTTGTTGCATTATCATTATTTGTTGCTCATTTGTTCTGTTACTTAGTTAAGCATTCATTTACTGGTATACCCTTCCTTGCTAATTTGTTTACGATAGTAATGT